ATAATAATAATAATAATAATAATAATAATAATAATAATAATAATAATAATAATAATAATAATAATAATAATAATAAAGCAAAATAAAGAAAATAAAGAATAAATAAAAATAAAACTTATTGATTTTCTCCCCTTTTGCAACAGTTAGTTTATTTATATTGTACGTACAGTAACAAAAAAAGAAGGTCACATAACACAAATTAACATAATTAGAAACAATAATATAAGTGCTTATGGAAGTTAAAATTTAATGTCAGTTAAGGGTCCTTGTTGATAAAATATAATATAATACCATATTCGTTGCGCAAAATTTGTCGGTCCGAGTATTGGAATGTTAATCCGATCGTATCTAAAAAAAAAAGATATATTACGAAGTTTTTAGTACAAGGAACACGGACAATCATCTGATTCGTTCGAAACTGAAATGGCACAGTTATTTACATATTAAATAATTACGTAATCCACCAAATTACTTTGTTGTTTTACAGATGACGTGATTACTTAACGAGTTAACAAGTAAGTAAACATTAATGCTTTGTTGTATCATTAATCTATGTAGCCTATTGGAGCCATGACAACGGAATTTACTAGGCCCATGTGGAACAGCCTGAATGTATATAAACTGTAATTATTATCTTCAAAGTTTAGAATTCGTGATTTCTTCAAAATGTATAGACTTTTTTTTTTATCCTGAGATAGTCTTTTTAATGGTTAGATTGAATAAATGTAATACGACATTTTGTTTATATTAGAATATTGTAAACTATAGGAAGCTCAATAAATGAACCTGTTTGCAAATAAATATGTGTCTGTCGATGAAGTGACATGTATTCACTTTGCATGATTTAGCTTAATCAAGACTAGTATTTATGCCTATAAGAAGATATTTAAATATTGGGACATTGAATGTTTATTTGAGTATTTGATATCGAATGCAAGTTATTATTTATTCTTGTGAGAAGATATCAACAACAGATCAGGAAGTGTTAACAGAGCCATCTGATGATCATATATGATTATTTCTGAGCGTATGATTATTGCTTTGTTGTTATTTACTTCCTCTCACAAGGATTAAATAGTGCGTACTAAGAGTTTTTCTCATCCGCATAATCTCGATATCGTTACTGTGTCGGTTATGTCGGTAATGAATCCTTATTATTGTTACACCCGATACCCGATTATCCCCGATGAAAAGTTATACTGTTAATGAAACATTTGCCTTTTTGATTTGGACTTCAAGTTTAAATGATTCAACCATCTTATGCACAGCCACTATAGCTTGTCGGTCGGATGACTTTATTTATGTTATTTACTGTAGACATTAGAATTTTAATTTATTGCTCATTAACATTGTTTAAGAAAAGCCGGTGAAACTCTTAATACTAGTTTAACCTTAATGTTCGTATGGAACTTTTTAAAATATCCTTAATATCATAGAAAATTCGTTTAATCGTTGAATAATAAGGTAATCACGCGACATCAATCTGGTGCATAAAAGTTTGTGTGGCAACGCCATTTAATTCTTTACCTTTCAAAAGATGGTAACCGATAACATTAACCTATGCTTTTTTAAAATTATGTAGCGAGCAATAAATTTATACGACAAAATACATTAAAGACCTATATAAATATATATGTATATATGTATAAATAGTCCATATTTGAAAAATGGGGATGTTTTAAAAGTCCAAAGTTTAAAGGTTAAAATTTAAAGGTCCAAATTCAAATAGTCCAAAGTTTGAAAATCTTTTGTTCCTTTAATTTGCATTTACCGTCTGGCAGATCGTAATTTTCTTCAATTATTTTATTAATGTAATACAAAAAATAAGTTGAACATGAAATCCCTTATATATTTATTTCTTATATATGACTTGACCTACTGAAATAACCCAGTTTTTATCATTGAAGATGTCTGTTTTGTCACCTTCTACTTTATTTTTAGTAGTTTGGGCACATGATGACTTAAAGATTTTTATATGTTTCTAAAAAGTTTACCGCAAATCCCTTTTTATAAATTCATATAAATACTTCTGGTTCTTTTGTGTTGAATGACGGGTTGGCTCTCGTAGAAAAAAGTTCGTAAACAACTTAACATGTTTTTCGGGATTAATAAATTTCTTCATATTTAACTAATAAACTTTTCATAAAATTAAAAATCTATCATATCCGGAATTTATTATAGATTTGGTTGTAGAGGTTCGTTTTAAAAAAAATTGATATATAAATTTTAGTCATCTTTTTTATTAAAAGAAAATAAAAAAGATGGTTTCGGTTGATAAACTTTAACCATACCTTTTCTCTAAGCATAAATATTCCTCTATGAAATTGAAACATTTTCCTCTTATTACTAACGCCATTATAGGCTTAAAGCATTGTCCTCATAATTATTATTATTGTTTTTAAATTTCTTTCAGAGAATCTTGGCCTCACTCTCTAGGTAGACATAATAAGCATTATGAAGGAAAAAAGAAAAAGAGTTGACAAAGCATGTGACCTCTGCAAAATTCAAAAAAAAAAGTTGACAAAGCATGTGACCTCTGCAAAATTCAAAAAAAAAAGTGCGAGAAAGATAGAATCGAGAACTCCTGCAAGAATTGTAATAGGAAAGGAAAACATTGTTCGTACTCAGAAAATTTCTCAAAAAGTAAGCGCATAATTTTTCTTATTTTAGTTTTGTTAATTAGTTGCAAAATTATTTAAATCCTATATGGATATTTGTTAGTAGGATTTAGTAATCCATTTTGCTAACCACTAAGCATGCTTAATATATCTAGCTATTATCAGTTATTCCAAGTTGTTATATGCTGATCAAAGTTTGTTTTATGTGTTCAACATGTTAATTTGAAACTTAATATTTTTACATAAAATATAGGTCAACGTCAAGAGCAGGCCGATATGTTACCAAAATTTTCAAGTGCTGGAAATATTTCACAAATGCAATCCAACTTCGATAATTTTAATAGGTCTCCAGAATTTACACATATCTTGGAAATGCAATCCAACTTCGATAATTTCAATATGTCTCCAGAATTTACACATATCTTGCAAATGCAATCATTGGATAATCTTGATGGACATATTGATGGCGATTATATCACACAAATGCAAGCCAATTTCTATGAATCACCAGAACTAGCAAGTATTGAAATCAATGTTCAACAATTCTAAAATAGTATCGAATCATTAGAATCTACAAATACAGACGGTAAGAAAAAATTAATTATTCACTTAATATGATAATATAATAATATAATTTTAAAGACTTACTGTATGTTTCTAATATAAATTCAGGTCATCAATATGAAATATTTCCAGAAAATATGTATGAATCTTATAACTTTGTTAACAATTTTAATAAGGCTAATATTCTTCAAGGTAATTTACGAGTTGCAGATTATTTTAGTTAAATTGTTTATTTAGTTGCAATAATTACACAGTATTGTATATTAATGATGATTTTTATTTTCCATCATAAAATGAAAGGTAAAAAGAAAAATTTTTGTATTTATAAATAATTATTAAATAACTTATAATTTTTAACATTACTTAAAGTTCTAATCAAGAAATGTATTTATAAAGGTATAATAAATAAAAATTAATTCTTTAATATTAATGCATATATGTTTAAAGACTTGCTTACCTTAAATACTTTATTAATATCCCTATAGCCTATACATGTTTGGGCTTTAGCATCACAAATTATTCAACAATTAAGCCGTTTAGATTTGAATTTATTAGAGGATCAAAATTTGCAGTCTCAAGTGTTATCTTCATTGGGAAGTAATAGATCTGATTGCATTTTTTTCGCATTAAGTTTCATACATATTTATATATTTATTTTACACCTATTATGTGTAAAATAGAACTTAGTAATATATATAAAGTCTTAGATTCATGTTCCTTACAGGTTAAACAGTTAAGTAAGTTATTAATCGAACAAAAATCTGACTGAACAAGATTTTCAAATCTCCTGACATGGTTTTACAGTAAATGTATGCACCTATAAATAGTTCCAAAAAAACTCCAGAGCTATATATATACAGTATTTGTATTCTTTTTTAAGAAATTTGCTCACATTTACATTTTTATATATAGTATTTACTGTATTCTTTTTTAAGAAATTTGTTCACATTTACATTTTATATATCCAACCTCACCCTACTTTTCTGAATATGAACTTAAATTATTCTAGCGCTGTATTGACAGTTATTATTTTGTTGTCCGGAACGAAGCAAGGATAAGTGATGATCACTCACATAATAGACTAAGGACACATAATAGGGATATCCGATTTTAATATATATTATCTCAATACAGTCTGCCTTCCATACAGTCACTCTCTATATATTTATAAGCACACTAATTTTTAGAAAAAATTTATATAAAACGTAAGAAATTTGACCTGGAACCGAGGACGTGACTGTAGATAGGTTTGACTGTATTATGTCTCTATTATAAATCATGTGCATTTCAAGCGCAGGCTGTTCAAGAGATTTGAAATTTCACTACTTGCCCACCTAGTAGAAACTCTTCTATGCTATTGTCTTATTAAATCTTAAGTAGTTGTAATTATAAATAACTTGTACCGGTATGTGTGCTCACTTTAAATCTTTGCTATTTCCATATAGGTGAATTGAAAGGTGAGAGTTAGAATTCTTAGTAGAACCAACAATTTCTCGTTGTAACTATAGCACCACCATTTGTTATTGCATGCAGAATCGAGTTCAACGAGTACAAATACATTACAAGACGGAGGTGAGAATTTTAATTTTTATGTTTATACTGTGTGCTTGCTCATCTAATTCTTTACTATTCACATAATCAACCCAATATATAGCTCTTGAACTGCGTATGGCTTCACCTATTAATCAGTCGTCAGGCAAGTAAATTAATTAATTATTTCATTTTATCGATAGTTCATTCAACCGCGTCTTGTGATCAGCGTTGTTACAGATAGCATATGAAACTAATTTGAGTTCTTCATAGTCTAAATTGAGTCTTTCGACTTAACTTCAATTTACTTGCAACTTTACTCCGGACTATAATAAACCACATAATCCACTCCGAGCGAATCTGGAGTGGGTCATACATTTTATTATAGACTGAAGCATGTGTAATATTAGCGGCTGTCGACAAAATTATAGCCTAAATAAGAAAAATAGAACTAAATTGTTATATGCTTAAAGAGATTAAAGTTTTTATCTAATTTTCTCTATACTGAACTTAATTAATGAAAGGCTAATGTAAATGCCTACATGCTCTATGAAAATTTATGCGCATTGCTTATTAGAACCGCTATTTAGTGACATAAATAGTGTCTAATACCTATTGCTTTTATTATAAATATAGGCCAATATGGGCAACATCACAATATCTAACAAAATAGAAATGAATATTAATATGTGAGAAGGTACGAGGATGTTAAAAAATTTTTAAGAAAATTAATTTACGTAACGACCGTGATAGTTAATAACCAATTATTAATTGATATATTATATTTAGGTATCACTCGTTGTCTGGCTACTAATGGTAAAGGAATTTTGAAGTGCATTTAATTTTACTAGAAGTGCTGTTAAATGTTCAATTTTGAAACTTCGTTTTATATTTTACCGGATGCTTTAGCACTTAAATCAAATTAGTTATTACGCAGGATCTTGTAGGCATTTAAGCACGCTTATTTATGATTTCTGTTTGTCTTTACTTCAAACTTGCATTTTATGTTAGCAGATTGATATAAATCTCTTGTTGCAATTTTAATAAAAACAATATGATTAAATAAGGAATTCTACGGATAAATAAATAACATTAGAAGTAATTTTGCGCAAAGTCGAATGCTTGATTTTCGCGAACGTGTAATGGGTATTACTAAATTTGAAATTTTCCCGTGATCTATTTCTCAAGAGAATTCTTAAGTAGAACAATGTGGTAGCACAAATTACGTTACGACTCGGCTTAAAAAAAAAAAATTTCATCGTTATAAATAAAAAATTAATACTGTATATCTACAACCTGCCTTATCCTAACGCGATAAAAAGATTAATATTTTTAGTACTTTAATCAGTAAGACGGGAACACTCGTAATACAATTAGTGAAGATAAATTCTTTATAAAATACGTGTGCCTATCTAAAATTATATCAACTGTTTAAAAACATCTGTACGCACGATGAATAAAGTAGTACAGCACAGTAGTACATCAATCCGTACACATGATGAATAAGAAATGTAATGCATAATAAGCTTGTATAATAAAAAAATTATATTAAATTATGTATTGTTTATTATTTAACAATATTTTCTAAATGAGAATTGCCATCTCCTGTTTTGTTAGCTGGCCTCCGATCTTATACGATCGTCAACAGAATCTCACGCTCACGTAATAATATCGAAGTTGTTTATGTTTGAATTTCAGTAGCTTATGAAAAGAGCTTTATTAATACTTAATATTTCGAAAATTTTATAAGAGATATATTTTTATGTTTTTTTCTGCCTTTGTAACTAATTCGATTACCATAAAGATTTAAGGAGATTAAAATACTATTTTTACTAAGAGCTCCCGCCAATACTTCTCCTCCTTCATCACTAATATATTAAAAGGGAGATTTAAGAAGATAGGGTAGCGTTCGTAGTAAGCGCAGTTGTTAATGCCTTTCCACCTTCATCATTAATTCGATTATACCGTATTTACTCAAAATAACGCGCAGGGGTGTTATTTCGAAATTTGGCCCGAATTAAACTTAATTCATGCCAAAATTCAAAATAACACCCCTGCGCGTTATTTCGAGTAAATACGGTAAAATAGATCTAAAAAAGTTAGAGTAAAATTCATCGCTAATATTATTAGAATAAAAGGTTAGGCGAGTCAGCATAGTGTTTGTAGTAAGCGCCGCTGCTAATGTTTTTCCACCTTCATTAATTCGGATTGTAATAAAAATCTAAGTTAGGGTGGTATTCTTACAAAGTGCAATGCTAATGCGTTTCCTCATTAAACATCATTATTGTTACTTTCAAGTTATAAAGAATTAAAAGTAATGTTTATATTAAGTGCTTTTAAAATTCTTTTCCACATTTATCGCCGGTTTTATTATACGAAAGCATTTTTGTTAACCTTCAAACCCAATAAAATTACAAGATTTAGAAAGTAAGCTTGATACAATTCCTGGTCATTTCTATAGAATCGTGGTAGAAATCAAATCCGGGTAAGATTCGGCTTCTAATCTTTTGTACTTCATTATAATTAGAAGCCAATCCCGAATTTATCGAGATTCTATGGAAATGCCCAGGAATTTGTGGTTTGTTCCGAAAAAAATGTGCATTTTCCAGAACGATAATCTGGAGAAAGTCGGGATATATTTTCGAAAATTTTATAGGGTATTATGACTAATATTTAAAGATGTTAAAGTAGTGTTCATAGTAAGCGCCACTACTAATGGTTTTCCACCTTCAATACCAATATCATTATAACTAATATTCAAAGTTAAAGTAGTGTTTGTATGAAGCGTTGCTAATGCTTTTCCCACCTTCATTACAGATATAATTATTGTCAAGATTTAATAGAGTTAAAGTAGTGTTTTTACGAAGTGTTGCTGCCAATTCTTTTCCACATTATAAGAAAGACTTAATGAAATTAGAGTGCTGTTCTCATAAAATACGTTGCTAATGCATCTCCTGCATTATGATCGATAAAATTACCTCAAAGACTTAAGAAGTTATAGTAGTGTTCTCAGTGCATCCACTAATGCTTTTACTCCCTCAGAATCAATTCTACTACCGGATAACGTTCTCATGAAGCACCATTTCCACTTTCAATACCAGTGCTGCTAAGATGTAAAAAAAAAAAATCAAAGTAGTATTTGTATGAAGTGCTTCTAATGTTTTTATTTGCTTCAGAATCAAAATTACTCTTAATGCTCAATTGAGTAATAGTATTTATTCTTAGTTACTCTATTATCTATTACTTTAAGATCGTTAATATTCCTACTTGTTCGTAGAAACATTGCAATTAAAGAACATTTAATTGTATTTACAAGTTCATCATCATCGTAATTATCTCTGTAATTTTCTTATAAACGTAATTAAGCCATTATGATTCCATCATTTAAATCATAGTCAAAAATTGTTGGTAACTTGTGCATTCAGATAATGATTTTGAATCAATTGGAAGAGAATTTTAAAAAGGGAATTAAAAGTGTTCGTTCTTCAATATTTAATGTCAAAAGACACGTATTTATAAACCTATTATCTTGAATATTATGTCACTCCATAAAATTGGCACTGTAATTCTATGCCAGCGACGGTTTACGAGAAGGTATGAGAATAAGGTTTTATAATTATCCTGGAATTTATTGAAAAAGCATCCGTTTAGTAATTTTATCGAATTACTAAAGAAACAAGATTTAATGCAAAGATGTATATGGACATATCTAATTATAACAAGCTGTTAACGCTTATCCGTATACTGAAGTTCTGAAAATAGGCATATTTGACCCACACTATGCCAATTTCAGGCTGCATTATAATGATCTCGGTCAGCATTACATGCAAAAAGGGTGCTTATTTTTGAAACTATACGGTACGTACACCAGACGCTTGGCTTGGCTCGGTAATTTTGCTATTATTAAAAATGATCAACCCTTAAACTTGTGAACTTACCATTATCGTTATTTCTTCTAAAGTGTAAGATTGATTTGCTGTAATATTAGCATGTGACCAATGATTGACAAAACCTACCACAGAATTTTGCAAGACAAAATTAAGCCACTAACCATGTCATCATCAAGATCAAAAAAGAAAAAATCTTCAGTCAGTAAGTGGATATATTATGGACATTCTTTGTAGAATATTCTATTAATCTTTTCAAAAATAGCTCCTAGGAAGAACGTTCAACCTATCAATGTTGGTAATTCTGGTACATCTTTAAAGAATAAAGAGTCTGAAGAAATAACAGCGCCCTTTACAAAAGAATTATCTACAGGTAAAGTTTGTACATGATGAATATATTTTTTCATGAAAAACAACTCGTATTTTCGATAAAATAGTTTCAATGGAGAGTGTCGAGGATACCAATATTGTCCCATCTTTAAAAGAAAAAGAAGTTGCTTCAACTGTTCCAGGTATCGGACAAATTAAAGAATGGTCTCCAGCACAAGTTATTATTTTTATAGAATCTAAAAAAGATGTGCTATCTCTTGATGATGATGACATTGATATAATCAGAAAGAGTAGATTTAATGGTCTGGCCTTTTTGGTTTTGTCCGAAGAAATGCTTAGGAGCATCGGAATGTTACTTGGACCAGCTACGAGAATTGCAGAATTTGCTAAAGAAATCTCTAATGAGAATCAAGGTAATTAATAAGAAATAATACACTTCAATAAACTTATAAAAACGGAAATGCTTAACTATTTTGTATCATAATAATGAGTAAAATATACTAACTTGTTTCCATAACAATATTACATCTGATCAAGTAGTTTATATAGATGTCGAGAAAATTAAAAAATTGAGTCCATCACAACTCATTATTTTTTTAAGTGGAGAAAATAGGTTATCTTGATGATAATGATATTGATATAATCAAAAATAAATAAGATTGCCGGTTTAGACTTTCTGCTCCTGTCTACAGAAAAACTTAGAAACATCGGAATGTCACTTGGGCCAGCTTTAAATATTGCAGAACTCGCCAAAAAAATCCCTAGAAATCAAAGTAAGTAGAATAATATACGCCATTGATTACACGGAATGTCTCGATAAACCTCACAGAAGTATAAATAGCAGAAATGCTTAACTGCTTTGTATCATAACAATTACAAAGCTTACTAATTTGTTTTTATAAAGATAAAGAATTTGAAGTCATCAGCGTATCAAGAATTAACAATAATCAGATGAGGAAAATTGAGAAAGCTATGGACTTTGATATCATATGAGTACGTATTATAATTCTTACTAAAGCAATGATTTTTTACCAGTTGGTAAAAAACTTCTTTTTTTTAAAAATAGTGCACAATATAAAGTGGATTTTTCATAAAATACTGTATTAGTTTGAAATTTAAATAATGGTATAAGAAACTTTGGTTGATCTTTAGTATAACTAGGCAAAATAGAATTATTATAAAATTATAATATAAAAAACAACTATTTAGCCTAATTTCAGCAAATTTGGGAATAGTTAGGGTTAGAGTAAGGTTATAGTTTATATTAAAGTTAGATTAGTGTTAGGGTTAAAGTTTTTTTATATTATAATCTTATAATATTTCTATATTGCCCAGCCATATTAAAGAAGATCCCGTAATTCTATCCTTGCATCTAAATATCTGTATCACTTTTTACTATTTAAAATTTATACAAAAGTGATAAACTGCTTTGATAACTGTTCCTATCAATTAATCCAAAAAAGTCTGTTACTAATAATTTTATTAACGATCCACATATTCTACATAGCTGACAGCACACCCCAATGTGACATATTCGGTCTAATGATCGATCAAGCGATCGATCAGTGAAGTTGGGTAAGTATGAAGTAATCCTTACATATGATTAAGTAATGGGAAAGTTGAAATAATTAGTTGAGTAAGTATGAGGTAATTGAGTTAGTGTATAGGTATATTAGTAATTGATGAGGTATGTGGGAGAAATAGTTTTGTTTCTTCTGCGAACCCGACATTCGTTCTGGTTACATCAACCCTCCCACCCTACCCGGCAAGTTTTTTCCGGAGTGGCCTGTCGGGACGACAGTCATGTGAGGGCTAAGGTTGATGTAATTGTTCTAAGCATATGGCCTGTCGGGACGACAATGCTTTCTATGGTTCTATGACCTGTTGGGACGACAGTCATTTGTACCAATTTCTATTGCATTTTATGACCTGTTGGGACGACAGTCAAAAGAAAAAATAAGAAAAAATAGAAAATGTAAACGATACTAAAAAGGTTGCGTAAGTTGCTCGATTAGCAGAAGGGAACACCCAAATGTATTTCCATAGTATGACACCAGAAATGAGAGACAAAACAAATTGCATGTTTAATTTTGCTAGAATTGAAATGCAGATCTTAGTAAAAAATTAACTGCTTCAAAATGTAAAACATTTGATTTATTGATTTATTTCTTTGAGAGCTTTATATAATTTAGATTCGGAATTTGTGGTTTCTGGCCCAAGATTTAGAATTTTTAAAAAATTCTGGTCAGAATTTGTGTTTCACGGTACAAGATTTGGAAATTTTAAAAAAATTCTGGCCAGAATTTGTCTCCCGGCCCAAAATATAGTATATTGAAAAATTCTGACCAAAATTATAATGCGCAAAAAAATAACAGTACAATGTTGCGCCATGATCATATGAGTTTGTAAACTTTTGGGTAGCACCCTAAATGATTTATTTAACAAAATAACTTTTATAAGAACGTCACGTCTAATATGTACATTGTAAAAAGGGAACACAAAAGTACAAAGCACTAAGAAAATATATTTTTTTTCTTTTAAAGAAAAAAAAAGGGGACAAGAAAAGCGTAAACCTAACCAAATAGCAAAACGAACCGATCATCTGTCATTTTCCTTATCAAAAGGATGAAAAAAATGTAAAGGAACCAACATTAAGAGTCATTACTCAGATCACATGCACAGGTGATTTGCATAGATTACAGAGAAAAAGGTTTGAATTTGATCGTGTAATAAGTAAAATAGAAATCAAGAGCAGAAAATTTTAAGGTTACGAAACATTTCGTTAAGACGGACACTGACATTCAAGAACAAGAAAAAAAATTTGATAATTATAAATGGGATAAGACATAGCAGGCAAAAAGAAAAAAAAAAACACCATTATCAGATAGTGTTCGCGAACAAATAATACATCACATGTACATGATGAATATTTGATTCAAGAGTATTACGAGATTTAATAACGGTTGTTATATCCACGACCGCCGCCGCCGCCGTAACCTCCTCCGCCGCGTCCACGACCTCCTCGACCTCCACCTCCATAACCTCCACCGCCACCATAACCTCCACCACCATTGTTGTAGCTGTTTCGTGAAGAGGAGGAGGACGAAGAACGTTCCGAGGCACGGTCAACTATCAATATAATGAAACTTTAGTTAAATGTTCAAACACAGTATTAATAATATTTTATTTGAAAATGAGCAAATATATACCCTTAATAGTTCGTCCGTCGAATTCTTGATCATTCAAATTTTGGATCGCGGCTTCAGCTTCTTCATTACTAATAATTATTGTAAGACTTTAGTAATTGATAAATTTGAAATTGAAAATGAAATAAAATATACTTACGATGAAAAAGTTACAAAACCGAAACCACGACTACGACCTTGATGAGCAAACGAGTAAACGAACATATAATAAGTATTGGGAAATGTTACACATATACACACACACTTATAGTAACACCCCTGTTGACAAGTCACACAAACAAACACATGAGGGTAAGGGGAAAGGGAAGATAACAGACAGAAAGGTTAGCATCCTTTATATTCGCAGTGAGATGGTTCCTGACAAAATTTGTTTGGAAGTCTCGCGAAGGTAACAAGGTTGCTCAAAAAAAAAGACGAACAACGAGATAGAACGAACAACGAGATAGAACGAACAACGAGATAGAACGAACAACGAGATAAAACGAAAAAGAGAACCAAAATATTTTCATAAAGCAAATAAACCAGTTGCCATGATAAAAAAACTCACCAGTATCACGGTCGCGAATGACAACGACATCCTCAACGTTGCCATATTCTTCAAACCTATCCCTAAGAGAACGGTCGTCAGTTCCCCATGACAAACCACCAACGAACAATTTAACGGACATAATAACGAATAAAGAACAATTTTTTTGAGAACAGGCGAAATAGTTTAAAAAAAAAAAAAGAACGGTGGGAAAATCTGTAATTTTATTAGAAAAAAAAAAAAAAATGGGGTGGACCCCGTATGCGCTTCCAACAATCATTCCATTTCACAAGCTTTTTTTTTGGCAAAATCATTTGAAAAAAAAAGTATACAATAGTGACTAATTTATCCATACGTATAAAAAGTATTTTAAAATTACAATAGTTTTATTTTATAATTATTAATATAATTAGATAATCTTACCCAAGCCCCCAACAAATGGCGGATTGTGAAACCGTGCATAAAACTACAGAATACACGTGATACTTGTTTATTGCAAGAAATACTGTCACAGCGGATTCTCGATTTTATTAGCAAAGAGCGACGATCAAAAATTTAGGATGAAATTACTCAGAATTTTACCAATGTTCCTGGCCTATTTCCCTAAAAAATTTCTATCTTTGCAATAAAAAAGTTAAAAACTTAATTCTGGCCAAAATTATGCAGTTAGCCAATCAAATCGTGCGACATTTATTTATTTAAAAAAAAAATTAGTCATGTTAGCATTGGGAGAATCTGCCGTGACAGTTAGGGCATTTATCTTATCTATATCACATATATAGCCACAATAGTTGATAAGTAAAGTATTCGAATTTTTGCAACTACAAGTCACGATAAGCCCAACATAAATAATTTCTATTACCGAACAGTATCCGAATTTTTTAAATCACTGTGTCCAATACCTAAATTACACATGCTACATAATAGTACGACGTACGTACGTACGTAAGTGCAGTATTCAATTTTTTTAAAGCAAAACCACTATACAAATCATGATAAGTTCAACGTTACTTTATCTGAAGCGTCCCTACCACTACAATAATCTATAAGTACAGTATCTGAATTTTTTACAAAAAATTATTGTATAGATCGCGATAAATCCAATACAATACCAACATAACCCTATTTAAATCATATGCCACCATAATAGTTAGTAAGTATAGTATCCGAATTTTTTACGGCAAAATCACCATATAAATTACGATGAGTCCAATATAAAACTAACATAATTCTACTGAATAATTTCCATCACCATAATAATCCGTAAGTGCTGTATCCAAATTTTTTATAAAAATCACCAATACAGAACTAATATAATCCTACTAATCACATATGCAACCACAATTGTTAGTATTTATAATACTGTATCCGAATTTTTGGCAGCAAAATCACTCACAAATTATGATAAGTCCAATATAAACAACATAATAAAGAATGGAATCGGTGAATAATTCGAAAATTTCGAGCGTCGAAATAAACTTCATTCATTGAGCTTTTAATCATAAAATCTGTGGGTCACTGCATGTCCGATTGGTAATCGATTGTACATTATTGTACGTACATGATTGTATGTACGTACGTACGTGATTGTGCATGATTGTATGCAATTTCTCAGCGAATATTTTTTTATTTGGATTTTATGAATCTATAAAAAAAATCATCACGTGGTTGCTGGTTCAGTTTTTTTTTTTTAAAAAAAAATGGCAATGTTTATCATAATAGAAGTTGCGCCAAAATTTTCTTAATACTTTGAGCGAAGATATTTCAGTAGTCACCTGATCAAATTCGTTGAATTTTTTATATGTATTCTATAGATCCATAGAATCAAAAGAAAAAATTTTCATTGAATTTGATCAAGTGGTTGCTGAGATATCTTTGCACAAAGTTTTTAAAATATCGTCTAAGCTGCGCCAAATTTTTCCAAACTTTGAGCGAAGATATCTCAGCAAACATCTAATCAAATTCTATGAATTTTTTTTTATTTGAATTTTATGATTCTATAGAATTCAAATAAAAAAAATTATCGAATTTGATTAGGTGGTTGCTGAGATATCTTCTCTCAACGGGTTTAAAAAAAAAACAAAAAAAACAAATTCGCTTAGAATACAAGAATGAAAAAATGTGTAGCGACTCCATGAGTTCTCGTTTATTTGAGCTAAGATTTTATAAAATAAATTTTTAATATATTTTCTAAAGTGTGGTATTACGTAGTAATCATTTTAGACTGAACTTTTCAAAATCAAGGTGGGTACATGAGTTTTCATCACAATATCAAAATAATTAACCCAACAAATTTGGACCGGCAGATTCTCGATTTTGATTGGCTAAAAGCGACGATCAAAAAATTAGGCCGGAATTACTCATAATTTTACTAATGAAATCATAGCCGCCCATTAAGTGAAAATTGTTCCTGGGTCAATTTTACCATAATGCGGGCTTATTTTTTAAGAATTTCTATTTTTGTAATGAAAAAATTAAAAAGTTAATTCCGGCCGGAATTTAGTAAACAATTATGTAATGTGGGCCAAAATTTTGAAGATCCTCGGCCGTTAGCTAATCAAAATCGAGGTCCAAATTTGTTGCGGCAGCTATGGTTAATTCAAAATAGAAGCTGCGCCAAATTTTTCCTAAAACTTTAAACGAAGATATATCAACAACTATCTGATCAAATTCAATGAAAATTATTTTATTTGAATTCTATAGATCCATAGAATTCAAATAAAAAATTTCATCAAATTTGATTAGGTGGTTACTATGATATCCGCTCAAAAATTTTTTAAAATAGCTAAAAATGTATGTTACGTAAATAGAAACTGAGTCAAATTTTTCTTAAAATTTTGGGCAAAGCGAAGATATCTCAGCAACCACCTGATCAAATTCGATGAAAATATTTTCGTTTGAATTCTATGGATCTATAGAATACATATAAAAAAATTTCAACGAATTTGATCAGATGATTGCTGAAATATCCTCGGTACCCACCTTGATTTTGAAAAGTTCAGTCTGTAAAATTTTAGCTCAAATAAATGAGAACTCATTGAGTCATTACATTTTTTTTATTCTTTTACTATAGGCGAATTTGGTTTTTTTTTTGATTTTTTTTAAAACTTTGAGCGAAGATATCTCAGCAACTACCTAATCAAATTCGATGGATTTTTTTATTTAAATTCTATAGATTCATAAAATTCAAATAAAAAAATTTTTATAGAATTTGGTTAGTTGGTTGCTGAGATATCTTCGCTCAAAGATTTAGGAAAAATTTGGCGCAGCTTAGACGATATTTTTAAAAGCTTTGAACGAAGATATCTCAGCAATTACCTGATCAAATTCGATAAAAATTTTTTCTTTTGAATTCTATGGATCTATAGAATTCAAATAAAAAAATTTTCATCAAATTTGATCAGGTGGTTGCTGAAATATCTTTGCTCAAATTTTAAGAAAATTTTGGCGCAGCTTCTAACATTACATTTTTTTAAAAAAACTTTGAGCGATGATATCTCAGCAACCACCTGGCCAAGTTCGATGTATTTTTTTAATTTTTTTTGAATTCTATAGGTTTATAAAAATAAAATTAGTTGAGAAATCACGCACAATCACATACAATCGATCGGGCATGCAGTGATTACTCAATTTGCAAACAGCGATAATTAAAAACATGGGAATTTTATTTAATATTGAATAGAGTTACTGTGTCTTCTGTTGTTAACATTCTCGTAAAGTTATCTTTTAATAGTGAAGAGAACGAATCTAATTGTATTGATATTTCGGTCTATCATGGCTAATAAAAATAGCGTCTTTTCATTAAACTTTCAAAATCAAGATGATATAGTAACGAATCTACAAATATTTTGCTCTTTCTGAACTTGATTTTGAATAGAGATGGGCAAAGTCAGTTACATATTATTACTTAATATTACTTAATATTATAATTTTATCATTAGTATCCAATTTTGATCATCCGTCTCTGACTTTTATCATGTATTTATATGTACACGTAATAGATAATTGAATGTAATAATTATTTAATATTACGTGTACTTAATATTAAGTAAGGGATAAGTCATAGGTCATTATTACTTACAAAATTACTTTGCCCATCTCTAATTTTGAAGCATAAATACTATACCAAACTTTTTTAAACTTTAAGCTAAAATATCTCAACACCCACCAAACAAAATTTAATAAACTTTTTTTATTTAAAATTCTACAAGATCCTGTGATGTGGTTGGTGTCCTTTACAAAATGTAATTTCAATCTTACATGAAATGGGCGCGAAAATTTATTACAATTGCTGCAACAAGCATAATAAGTAAATGCTTATTTTCAGACACGGGAAATTTTATAAAGACATTATTAATTTAAAGTACAGTAACTTCGCAGTGAAATTTTTAAAAGATAATACGAAAAAATTTAAATGTATGTACATTGTGCATCAAATAAAACAGAATTGCAAACTTTATGTTACATTAAATTTTTTTAATACGATATTATTTTTTTAATAAATATTTTAAAAAACTTGATGAACATTCGAACATCGGTCAAAATTTTTACCGATGCTCAAAAATCACAACTTTGTAACCAAACAATGCTCGAAGTTTATAGAATTAAAATAAATAAATAAAAATCATCAAAATTAGACAGGTAGTTGTTAAAAAAATTTTACCAAAAATTAGCCGCAACTTTTTTTTTATAAGTGCCTATGTTTTGAATGAAGATTATTTGGGCACTTACCTGATCAAATTTGAACAAATTTTTTTATTTTAATTCTATAAGTTTATAAGAATAAACTAAAAAAATTTGATCGAATTTTATCAAGTGATCTTCGTTCAAAGTTTAGGCACCCATAAAAAAGCTGCGGCTAATTTTTTCTGACTTTTAGTGAAGATTTTTCAACAGCCGTCTATCCAATTTCAATAAATTTTATTTTATTTTATTTATACAAACTTACTAAAGAAATTTTCATCGATTTTAAATCAAAGATTGTTGATAAATCTTCGTTAAAATTACCTCGATTTTTGTTGATATTCGAATGGTTTTTTAATCTTTTAGTGAAGGTTTCTCAACAACCATCTATCCAATTTTGATAAATTTTTTTTTAAACTTTACAAAAGTATAGAATTAAAATATAAATATTTTTACTGAGTTTAATCAAGTAGTTGCTGAGAAGTCTTAGGATATTTAAATATTTTGATTATTTTGATTGGCTGCTTATAGTGAACCTTTTTCGCGACTACTGATTATTTGTCACTTGTTATATGTTTGAGAATTGATCAAAAAATAGATCGAGTACTATTAGTCGATAATAGCTGAACGGTAGCATTCGAACGTACGGTATACAGTACATGTTTATTATAACGCCCTAAAGATAATCAAAATTTTGTATTGCCTATTTTACACTATACAAAATTTCATTTTAATCCGACGTCGTTTTAATCTACTATTTATTTTTTTAAAATTACTTGAACTTTGTTAACATACTCAAGTTAGTTTTTAGTAAATTTTATTTACATGCATTTAAAGAGAGTTGACTGTATTATGTTTTATGTTATGTACACTATTACATCAATTATTGATATTCAACACCAGTATGAAAATGAGATATAATGTATGAAATTAAAATAAATATAATATACCAAAAAATTTTAGTAAAAAGGCTAGAATTGGCAATTTCTAATAATTTAATTAAATCGGCAAGTGCTTCTTTATATTTTCCCATTCTCCGATAAGTTGCACTTCGAATTTTTAATGCAAATGCATCTTTTGGATCTATTTCTAACGATTTATTTAAATCCTTAAGTGCATCTTTATATCTCTTCAAATCTCGATAAATTTCACCTCGAACTTTTAATGCAAAAACGCCATTTGGTTTATTTTCTAATAATATATTTAAATCTTCAAGTGCTTCATTATATCTACCCATCGTTTGATAAGTCGCTGCTCGATTTCCTAATGCAAAACCATTGTTTGGATCAATTTCTAATAATTTATTCAAGTCTGCAAGTGCTTCTCCGTAGCTATCAATCTTTTGATAAGTTTCTTCTCGAATCTTTATTACAAATGTAATATTTCTTATAATAACGATTCCAATAGTAATTATAAATATACCTAAAAAGAGGGTACGGCGTTTACTTAAAATAGATAAATTTTGATTAGAAATTTGGTCATATCCGTGAAAAGCAATTGATATAAAATTATAAATTATCAAGAATCCACTACTCACTTATTATTATTATTAGTATTATTATTATTATTATTTCTAATTCTAGATCCCATAACATCTTCGTTAGTAATGAATTTTACAGATGTTGATTGTTTGTTAAGTGTTGCTAAGATGTTAAGTATTGCTAGGATTTCATTTGCTGTGGGACGCAAATCTGGATTAGATGACCAGCATTTCTTATAGAGATCAACATAATCTAATGGAGTATTAGCAATAGGATTTTCTCTATTGCCTTGCCAAATTGTTAGTAGTATAGCAGCGGGAATAAGTTGATGAAACGGAGGAATTCCACTTGTGAGCTCCCATAATAGTACGCCAAGGCTATAAATATCTATTTTCTTATCGGGAACAAAATTTCCATAGAAATCATAGAAGTACCGTGGATCGACGTATGCCAGCATGCCTTGAACTTGTGAACTTGAAATGGAGTTATCATCTATTTGCCTTGATATTCCAAAATCTGCAATTAAAATCTCATTTCCATTGATTAAAATATTATTAGAATGCTATAAAAATATTTTATATAAAATAAATAGTAAATAACTTCAAATTTTTTTTTATTTTATGAAATTAATTAAAATTCGTAAAGTAAATTGTATACCAGATCTCTATGAATGATATCCCTTTGATGTAAAAAATTTAAACCATTGGTAATTTTAATTGCAAATTCAATAACTTTAGTCCATGAAATTTTGAATTTGTCATCCTTCCATCTTCTTTTTAAATAATTTCTTAAATTTCCACCATTAGCAAATTGTAATACCATTACAAGGTTATCAGTTTGTGAACATTTTGAAACTCCATAGAGTTTAATTATGTTTTCATGATTAACTTCGTTAAGTATTTTAAGCTATGTAATAAATGATTGTAAGATTAATTAAATTTTATTTTAGAAAATAAGATACGCTAAAGCCCCCCAAAAACTTACCTCACGAATAAACCTTCTAATCTCTCTATGCCCCAAACTTAAATTAGTATTTAAACTTTTCAATGCGTATTTATGTCCAGCGTAGTCAGCAGAGTATACGATTGCTGATGCTCCAGATCCAATTTTTGTAATATTGTTAAATTCTGAATAGACAAAATTTTCTATATTGAACTCGTTCAATCTTTTTTCAACATATCTTGGCAATTCGAATACTGTATATATTGTAAGGATTTGCAACATTACAATATAGTAATATACTCTATAGATGCGTTGATTATAACTTTGATGAACTTACATGATGTTCTTTCATTCGCGTTTTGGTTGTATGAATTTTCTTGACTCATTTTGATTGTAATATTTGATGTTTGTTCATTCTTCACTTATTAGTGTTAACTTCATTTATATTGTCTTTGTTACGGTAACAAATAAATACACGAAATTTATTAACGTAAATAAAGAAATGCTTTATTCGGTCTGTTTCTGTCTGTTTCTTATTTTATTCCGATTTATGTTACACGACAAACAAGAATTGGATCAATTTTGAAATTGAACGTAAAAGGAAATAAGGTACCATAACGATAATACGTATTATTGCTTTTATATATTAATCGCGCTGAAACAAGAAACTTATCGAATTCTCCGAATGATTATTAATTAAATCTTAATGAATTTATGGAAACAGTATCGTAGTGAGATATAGTATGTGGGGTCTTCGTTGACTTTTCCTTACAAATTCACCCGCTTGGTTAGACTTTTCAACTGGAATATCATTTAGGTAATCCACCAACTCAACACCTTAGCGATAACGACGACAAATGAATCACTCAGTTTATTAGTTAAGTGTACTGTATTGACTCAAAACGAAACATCATTAGAACCTCTTTTTATGACACAAGCAGGGTTGGCATGCAATGGAGTTAAATGGTTACGTGAATGGAGCTCAAAAAAAAACTAGTATACATTGGCTCCATTCAGAGCTCCATAGGCTCCATTCGCAGCTCCATTGGGCTCCATTGAGCTCCATTGCCAACCCTTGGCACAAGATAATTTCCGGATTTACTATTATCCGGATTTTGCAAATAAACTACGCTACTGTATTGATTAAAATCATGCAAATTCGAATCACTCTAGTCATGTAAGTCTCGAATCCGACACCACGAATTTCCGAGGTAACGAATTAACCTGTGACAACAGCTATAAGAGATACTCTTTCGCAACTCGTGGTACCGTCTACGTAGAATTGCACTAGTTTATTAAAAATTACTAAGAATTTTTCATAGAACAATTTTATTTTCCATTCTCAAAGTATACATTTTTCTTTTTTTTTTTTTTTTTTGAGATTCATAAGATTCGATTTTCTCCCTTTGATCCTCTTTGTTACAATTTTTGCTAACTTCGGCATTCATTTCTTGTAACCTTAAAAATTCTTAGCCTACGCAGTATATGAGTGCTACAGAGTGAAAACTGGGTAGTTTTCATAGCGATGTAAACTTAAATTTAGTACCTTATTATAATAAATTTCTAATTCGAACTTGAAACTGACGACCAATTGCAAGTCAATAAATTTGCACAATGTAAAAAAACAAATTTGCTTGGAAAGTCCGGTCCAGTTCCGACTCGACACCAAAAATCTAGTCTTTATTAAAATTGTTCCCGACTCGCATCTGCACGTGATTCAAGTATAGCATTAAAATTGTAAATACCGAACATGTAGATACATTTTTTTACGTTATATATATATCTAAATATATCAGATGCACTGCAAGACCAAACTTTAATAAAGACTCGACTTTTGGAGTTGAATCGGGACCGGACCGAACCCCACTGATTATGCCGATAGAAAACTTTGTGTAACATCAATTAGCGCCGAAATAATTTCTTTTAGTAATGAAATTGAAAGATAAATGGGGGACAATTGGGCTGCTATAAGAGGCAAAGTTTTTTTTTTTTTTTTAGAAATATAAAAATAGATTGCATGAGAAAAATCTTTAAATTACTTGCTATTCTTATATTCTATTTTTATTATTATCATTATCTGTATGCATCTTAAAAATACGTAATTCAAAAATAATTCGGAATTACTGCATAAATACATATAATACATGTAAAAAGTCGGAACTCAATTTCAAACATAGCAAAAAAAGATAGTCCGGTGTGATGTTATATATGTACGTACGTATGTATGTACGCACATACAAAAACTTTTTAAAATTTCGAGTGCTTCATAAGTTCGTTTAACATATTTTTTTTCAAATGTCTTCATGGGCAAAAAAAATCAAATTTATATCTTATTCGAAATTTGCTGAAGGTGGCAATTCGAATGGACAATTTAATCTCGGATTCTGTTATCAAAATGGCTTAGGTGCAACCAAGGACGAAGAAAAAGCATTTAACTGCTATTTAAAATCTGCTGAAGGTGGTAATGCTAGTGGTCAATATCATCTTGGATTTTGCTATCAAAATGGTATTGGTACGTCTAAGGATGAAAAAAAAGCATTTGAATGGTATTTTAAATCTGCTAAAGGTAACAATTCGAATGGACAATATAATCTTGGAAATTGCTATTACGAAGGCATAGGCTCAACCAAAAATGAAAAAAAGGCATTCGAATGGTATGTAAAATCTGCTAAAGGTGGCAATTCCAGTGGACAATTTAGTCTTGGAAATTGCTTTTATGAAGGCATAGGCACATCTAAAGATGAGAAAAAGGCTTTTAAATGGTATTTGAAATCTGCCAAAGGTGGCAGTTCCAGTGGACAATGTAGTCTTGGATTCTGCTATCTAAATGGCATAGGCGCAACTAAGGATGAAAAAAAGGCATTTGAATGGTATTTGAAATCTGCTAAAGGTGATAATTCCACCGCACAATATAATCTCGCATTGTGTTATCAGGATGGCACAGGCACAATCAAAAATGAAAAAAAGGCATTTGTATGGTATCTGAAATCTGCTAAAGGTGGTAATTCGGATGGGCAACTTAAAGTTGGATTCTGCTATGATAAAGGTATAGGCATAGTAAAGGATGAAAAAAAGGCATTTGAGTGGTATTTAAAATCTGCTGAAGCTGGTAATTCGAGTGGACAATTTTTAACTGGATTATGCTATGACAAAGGCAGAGGCATAGCCAAGAATAAAGAAAAAGCATTTGAGTGGTATTTGAGATCTGCTGAAGGCTGCAATTCGGATGGACAATTTAATGTTGGACTTTGTTATGACAAAGGCATAAGCACAGCCAAAGATGAACAAAAGGCATTTGAGTGGTATTTGAAATCTGCCGAAGGTGGCAATACAGATGGACAATTCAACGTTGGATCTTGTTATGACAAAGGAAAAGGCACAGATAAGGATGGAGAAAAGGCATTTGAATGGTATTTGAAATCTGCTGAAGATGGCAATCCAAGTGGACAACTCTATGTTGGGTTCTGCTATGATGAGGGCATATACACGGCTAAGGATAAAAATAAGGCATTTGAGTGGTATTTGAAATCTGCCAAAGGTGGAGATTCCTATGGACAATTGAAAATTGGATTCTGCCATGACAAAGGCATAAACACATCGAAGGATGAAAAGAAGGCATTTGAGTGGTATTTGAAATCTGCTAATGGTGGCAATTCCTACGGACAACACAATCTTGGAGTCTGCTATGAGGAAGGTATAGGAACAGACAAGGATGAAAAAAAGGCATTTGAATGGTATTTGAAATCTGCCGAAGGTGGCAATTTTGTTGGACAAATTAAAGTTGGAGTCTGCTATGACGAAGGCGTAGGCATAACAAAGGATAAAAAAAAGGCATTTGAATGGTATTTTAAATCTGTTGAAGGTGGTAACTCGAGTGGAAAATTTTTCACTAAATTATGCTATGATAAGGGCATATGCACAACAAAGGATGAAAAAAAGGCAATTGAGTGGTATTTGAAATCTGCTGAAGGTAGCAATTTGAAAGGACTTGAATTCTTCTATAACGAAGGCGAAGGCGAAGGCACGGACACAGTTGAGGATGAAAAAATATTTGAATGGTATTTGAAATCTGCCGAGGTTGGCAATCCGAGTGGACAATTCTATGTTGGATTAGGTTATGATGAAGGCTTAGGCACAGCGAAAGATGAAAAAAAGGCATTTGAGTGGTATTTGAAATCAGCCAAAGGTGGAAATTCCTATGGACAATACCATCTTGGATTCTGCTATGACGAAGGCAGAGGAATAGCTAAGGATAAAAACAAGGCATTTGAATGGTATTTGAAATCTGCTGAAGGTGGCAATTCGAAAGGACAATACAAAGTTGGATTCTGCTATAACGAAGGCATAGGCATAGTTAAGGATAAAAAAAAGGCATTTGAATGGTATTTAAAATCTGCCGAAGGGGGCAATTCGAAAGGACAATATAAAGTTGGATCCTGCCATAAGAAAGGCATAGGTACAGTCAAGAATGAAAAAAAGGCTTTTGAGTGGTATTTGAAATCCGCTAAAAGTGATAATTCGAATGGACAATACGATCTTGCATTATGTTATTACAAAGGCATAGGTATAGCAAAGAATGACAAAAAGGCATTTGAATGGTTTTTGGAATCTGCGAAAGGTGGCAATTCAGATGGACAATTTTGTGTTGGAGTCTGCTACGAAACAGGCGTAGGCACAGCCAATGATGAAGAAAAGGCATTTGAGTGGTATTTGAAATCTGCTGAAAGTGGTAATTTGGATGGACAATTGAGAGTTGGATTATTCTACGAAAAAGGCAGAGGCACGGCTAAGGATGATAAAAAGGCATTTGAGTGGTATCTGAAATCTGCTGAAGGTGGTAATTTGAAAGGACAATATAAAGTTGGATTCTTGTATGACAGAGGCAAAGGCACAATCAAGGATAAAAACAAGGCATTCGAGTGGTACTTGAAATCTGCTGAAGGTGGTAATTTGGCCGGACAACTTAGTGTTGGATCCTGTTATAAAAAAGGTATAGGCACAGTTAAGGATGAAAAAAAGGCATTTGAGTGGTATTTGAAATCTGCAGAAGGTGGCGATTCCGAGGGACAATTTAAGATCGGATTATGTTATGAAGAAGGCAGAGGAATAGCTAAGAATGAAAAAAAGGCATTTGAGTGGTATTTGAAATCCGCTGAAGGTGGCGATTCCTATGGACAATATAATCTTGGAATTTGCTATGAAAATGGCATAGGCACAGCTAAGGATGAAGAAAAGGCATTTAAGTGGTATTCGAAATCTGCTGAAGGTGGTAATTCGAATGAAAAATTTAGTGTTGAATTTCTGTTATGGCGAAGGAATAGACACAGGCAAGGATGAAAAAAGACAATGTCATTTGAAATCTGTTGAAGGTTATAATTCTATCACA